ACTACTTTTACCAAAACTTTCACAACTTCAGGATATTGAATTCTGTAAGTATATGAAGTATCGTGGAAAAGAATCTTTTACAAAAGTTAGTCATATACCTATAATATAATACATTACTAATGGCTTTTTCGTATAAGTACATATATTTTTTTCCATTTTTCGATAATGTCACCCTAATTTATGTCGGCTACGGCGGCTAATCTCAATGAGACTAGGCAAATGTGCAGGAGATAGTATAGTGCATATGTGTGTAGAAAAATACAATGAGTACTTTCTATTTTTATAATTGCATACAGATCAAGCCCAGTATCGGTTTTACGTTTTTTTTTTAACGTTGGGAAATGCATTTACGCACGAGGTGTGGGACTCACCGGCAAAGCCAGTACTACCCACTAAAACCCAACAAAACCTTCCCCCGTCTTAATGGGGCGTCGCAGGATCGCTTACGCATTCAACTACGACGCCCCGACGGCAGGTCTGCCGAAGCAGACCACAATAACCACGGGGTTGCTCCACAGTCCACTCTGCTATTAGAGAAGTACCAGGAGCAACGCGCATGGTACACTGCCCTCCAAAGAGGGCCACCTCCCACCGCCCATCGAAGTGGGCCACCTCCCTGTGCGTTTCTTGGCTTCGCGCCCGTTTGGATTGCCGGGCACTACTGAGCCCCCCCACCACGACAAGGTGAACGCATGTTGGGGAGGAGTATCGGTTTTACGTGCTATTACGTGTAACACCGCTAACATTCCAACTCCGGACTTGTATAATTGTGACCTGGGAATCTAACCTAGGACATTATGATTTGCAGCTGTACATGCTAGCTACTAGACGAATGATACGGTCTACGTAAACGCTAAGCTTTAGCATGTATATTATTTCACACTACGGAACAAAGAGAAAGCGAGTTTAATAGAAACCACGTAAGCGAAATAAAGGGTGATAAATCCTTAATAAATTATGAGATTTACGCAAGCTTATAGTCCGTTCAATTAGCTTCCCGTCGACCCGCTATTAGTGGCTGGAATTAATAAGTTTGAGAATTTTACAATTTCACTTTTGTTTTCCTCTAACGAAAACAAAAGATATTAGATGTCTAATCGATGGTGTCATCGCCACACAGCATTTCACCATTATTAATTTATTTTGTACTAGCGGCTCACCCTCGTTTCGTTCGGGTTTACCTCTAGGAACTCAAATACAAACCTATCCCACGGGAACCTTACATTTTTCCGGGATGAAAAAAATCTCTTTGTGTTAGTCCAGACTACAATCTATATCTATGCCAAATTTCGTTCGGATCCGTTCAGCCGTTCTAGCGTAAAAGAATAAAAAACATCCATACATACTCACAAACTTTCACATTTATAATATTAAATAATAATATGGATGAAATGATACTACTCAAAAAGGCACATAATTAAATAAAACCTACTTTAATACCGAATAACCAATATTAGTTAATACTTTAATAAAATTAACATCTAAATTGTGTTATACCTAACTTAACAATAATGTTGGTTTGTAAAAGGTCTAGGTCTATCAGAAGTATTTCCTTTATAATAACATTAGCAGAACAAGCGGCTTCGCTCGTGCTAAATATAAACTCTAGGTAAAAAGGTAGGTTTCATACAAACTTTCATCCCCTATTTTACCCCCTTATGGGAGGAATTTCGAAAAATGCTAAAACATTTATTCAATTGTATTGAAGAGCACTAATACCAAGTTCCAAGTAATTCTGATCATAAATATTTTTTTATAACGTGTTATATTGTTGTATGTAATATAACGTGTTTCCCCGCATAATCTCGACATAAAAAGTCACGTCATTCCAGCACTCTGTTTCAACGTGAAAGACAAACAAACAAACAAACAAGCAAACAAACAAACAAACAAACAAACACACTTTCTCATTTATAACATTAACTAGCGGCTCACCCTCGCTTCGCTCGGGCTCGTCGCTAGGTACGTTTTAAATACTTAGATATAAATAGTTATTAGCCAGCGTTAGCCATGTAAATTTTATTTTTTTTTGTTAACAATATTGACAAATATTGACATTAATATTTATACGATACTAACGTCACTCAATTGTTTTGCCTTTCCGGAACCTCTCCACTAACACACTTAAACTTTATGGTATGGTATTAAAGTTTAAATTGACTTTTGAGTATTGTTACGAATCTTTTGTATGGGAGTATAGAAAAGTGTTGTTTTTAGACTTTTTCAGGTTTTTTTTTAAATTTTTCTCTCCGTAAGAACCATCCTCGTATTTCAAGGAATATTCTAAAAAAAGAGTTAGCGAAATCGGTTCAGCTGCTCTCGAGATTTGCGCTTACCAACACATTCATTGATTCATTCTTATATTATATAGTAATGTTATTTAAAATATGTATTGTCACGCCTTGACACTAATAAAAACATTTGCGATCTCGTCTCACTTATTTCCGTGTCAGTACCTCTATACACTTCACAGCCAGAAGAGGGTGGAAGTAAATCTTTTTGTGCAGTCACATGGTAAAATTCCGCATACAAATATGAAGTTTTGTTTTCTATACACGGGTTTTTTTACATATTAACAAGTATTACCCAAACTTTTATTGAGATTGGTGTAAAATCAAAATTGTGCATTGAATATTTTCGTAAATCCTACGTTAAGATTAAAAACGTTTAAAACAAAACAAGGCCGTAGATGAGTTATTTATGTACATGTAAAGCCCCAACCAACATAATAAATGCGAATGTGGTTTGTCTTTCAGAGGAATAGAACCAAACGACTAGATTTATTTACATATGTGCAAAAATAAATTTTAATACTTTATATATTAACGTTTACCTCATTTAATTTGTTACTCGTTAGCGCTACTAAATTATTAAAAAAATATAAAAAAAATAAATAAATAAAAGTAAACAAACGAAGTGGAAGTGAATAAATTTACATCAGTAGATATAGGGCTTAAAAGTTTAATGCCTTTATCTACATTTTCTACGTATAAAGATCTAAACCGAAACGAAGGTATTTTGAATTTTTTTCCTATTTTGTAAACTTGCTATTGTTGTACAATATTGTAAAAATATCGAGGTGCTTATATTTCTAACCAGCAGACATGGACGTGATAAATCTGCAACCGCTTCCGAATAGAAGTTTTATTAATCATTTTATTGAAAAATCAATTGTGCAATATTTGTTGGAAAAAATAATAAATGTTATTTCTATATTTTTTATAGATTCTTAATCCATTTACGCACACCAGCTGCATACATACAGGTGGTTTATATGGGTCTCACCGGCCATAAAAGCCAGTACTACCCGCAAACACCCACCGGAAACTCCCCCGTTTTGAAGAGGCATCCGAGCATCCACGACGTCCCGACGGCAAATCTGCGGAAGTAGACGACAACAGCCAAGGGGTTGCTTCGACGGTCCACTCTGCTATAAGAAAAATACCAGGAACAACCCACCTAATACACCACCCACCGAAATACCCACGACAAAGTCACTCATCGGGAGGGATAGAATATGATGATGATGATGTTCTCCTGACCGATTCCGGCCACGTCGGCCAATCTCATTGAGACTAACCAACTGCGCAGGAGATATTATAGTGCACAACTGTACGCGCAGACACAAGTGCACTCTCTATTCCTGTCACTCTCATAATCCGGTGGGACGACTGCTCGACACGACCAGTGAGAGTTAAGGCGCAGGACCGACGTGGCTTTACGTGCTCTCCGAGGCGCGGGGGTGAAACACCGCCAACTTCCCAACTCCGGGCTGTTACTGAGGCTTACTATACATAAAGACTCAATAACTAAACTTGGCCCGACCCGGGACTCGAACCCAGGACCTCCGGGTGTGCAGCCGTACATGCTAGTAACTACACCACCGAGGCAGTATAAATAGGGAGAATATAATCATCCTGTGTAAGCCCCAAAGTTACAGAAAAAAGGACCAAGTCTTTTCAACCGACTTCAAAAAGGAGGAGGTTCTCAATTCGACTGTATGTTTTTTTTTTATGTTTGTTACCTCAGAACTCCATCATTTATTAACCGATTTGGAAAATTTTTGTTTTGTTTGAAAGGGTATACGTCCAGATTGGTCCCATTTACATTTCAAAAAAAAATACCACCCCTAAGGGTGGAAAAACAACTAATGATGAATTTAACCTACTTCTAATTGTCATATTGACTTGAAACTTTGCAAGTATTTCTATTTCCGTTGATAGTACAGTAGTTCGGTGTTGTTGACCTGATCTGATGGCAAGGCCAGAAGGTGGATAGGTGGAACTCTTCAACGGCTAATAGTAAATACTTTGAGTTTGGGCTTATTTTGTTTGATTTGACAAGCCTAACATGTTAGAATTCTTACTGTGCTACTACTGTCTACACTAAAAAGGGAAAAATAAAAACTTTTTAACAAAAAAATAAAAACCGACTTCAAACAAAAGCACTAAAAAGTAAAAAATAACTGACTGGTAGTTTTCATTTACTATACATACCTAATCAAATATTTTTATATGCTGGAAAAATAGTAAAAAAAATCCTATATCTGGAAAACCGGTTTTCCACTATGTCCTATATGTAGGACAAAGTGACTATATTACTATGTGATTTGTGTAGGACATAGAATAGTTTATAAATATAAATTGTAATTAGAAAAGAAATAAAACACAAATACAACATATTGTAACCTTTATATTATACATAGGCAATATAAAATTTCTGAAAAAAACAAAAAGAAAACTTCTTCTAAATAAAACTTTCAAAATTAAACATTTCTTGTCATAAAAATAACTAAATATTATTATGAACTTACAAATCAGTCGCAATTAGGAATATATTTAGATATTAATTAAGTTTTATCGACACTTATACCCTTATTACTACTCTAAGTTTTGGTGAAAATCGGAATAACAATTCCTATTTGGCGTGAAGCAGAGATTAATATCACATTTTTTGCAAAATACTGTAGTTTTTTAGATGGGCAAATGTAGTATAACCTAATAAATCACCACGTCACAAACTGCGCCTTGCGGCGTAGCAAGAACCTTCAGCCCAACAGGGTTTGGTTTGTTAGGACAGTATTGGTGCATCGGACATTTTCCAGTAAACGGATTAATCATTTCGTCAATATTCTTGGGCCGGTTTTGTTCGTGACACATCTCCAAGATTCGATTAAACAGCGGCTGTATTTTCCAATTTTTTTGTATCTTCTGTTCTGCTGTCACTTCAGCATCATAAACACACTTCAGCCGTCGTCTGATAAAAAAGAATCTGTTCCTTGTCATAGCTATTGCAACTATGGAAACTTTCCACTTTTCTGACCAGTACATATCAATTTGTGGATACTGCAGTACTGACATTATCATTGTTATTCCTATATTCTGAATCCGAAAGCCATCATTATGTTGACGATTCCTAATTGCAATCTGGTGGGTTGACAAAGGCGACGATTGCGGCCATGAAGTATCCTCGCTCAAACTACCACGTCCACGACCGCGGCCACGTCTATGTCCACGTGAAACACTGCTGCCACGTCCTTTTGAGCGGGGCCGTGATGACGTCGATGCGATATCAGAACTGCTAGAGAACGCCGGGGAAGCAGCTGCAGGAACCAATGTGTTTCCCTCTTCATCTGAACTGCTTGACTCACTGATTTGATGATCATTGGCTGTTTGGTTAAGTTCTGGCGGCACAAACTTCGAATCTTCATCTGAATCATCTCCCGAAAATTCAAACTCAGAATCGTTTAAAGCCTCCGCTATTCCATTGTCCGTTAAAACTAGAACAAACATAAGTAAGATAAAATATCTATCAATGTACTTTATATAGTACATCGGAAGTCTAAGTACTAAAACTTTTATTGCCTACATTTGTCTTGTGCAAAGGACTTAAAAAAATACAATACGTTGTCTTGCATGTTTTTTACAATTACGCGAAAATACAAGTGCATATCATCAGTTTAAACTGCTAATTACTTTACTATCGCAAGAAATCCAATAAAAATTTAGATTTACATAAGATTTAAATCGATTAATCGCAAGCATCGACACATGTCTGTCTTCCATCGCCATTTTGAAAAAAGAGGATCACATGGGAACTGACATTTATCTCTATTTGGAAACCCAGATAGTCGATAGATGTCACCACGCAAATATTTTGGGATTACGATTTTAAAAACCGGTAGTATATTTTTTTAATTCCTATGTCCTGGCTGTAGTACAGATGTAGGCAGGAGGTTAAACTAATAACCTTTCTTTGTAGTTAATGTACAAAGGATACTAAATCTTATTCAAAAAACTCATTTAACAGTTTTTATTGTCTTTTTAATGCCCGATAACTCTGCGACGACTAAACCGACAGGCAGGTATTACCAGATTATTTGTTATTGTATTTAACAAACAAACATAACATAACTAACGAATCCCGCGGGGCACAGGTTATAAAAAGTGTTTTGTTTTTTTTTATTATTTTACTTATTAGGAAGTCTACCAAGAAAACATTTCTTAACTTAATATAATTATCTTTCTAATATATAAATACGTGACGTGGTGTTTGTGGTCGCACTCTTCCGAAACGGCTCTACCGATGTTAATGAATATTTTTTTATATATTTGGTAGGTATGAGAATAGGTCGTAAATTATTTTTCACTCTCCTTCCCCCACGCCCTATTTTTTAATTGCGAGTTTAGTATTTTTAACCGACTTCAAAAAAAGGAGGAGGTTCTCAATTCATCGGGGACTTTTTTTTATGTATGTTCCCCGATTACTCGACGATGGCTAGACCGATTTGTAAAATTCTTTTTTTGTTTGAAAGGGTATAGTTTCTAGTTGGTCCCATAGTCACCATGTCACGATCTGATAATGGGATCCCAGGGAAATCAAAGGTAATTCTCAAATTTTATAGGCACTTATTACGTTTTTCATATATTTCCTAAAGCTGTTCAAGTATTTGCGTCTGATAATCATCATCTCCTGTGGTTGAGCTAATGATGGAAGGTACAACTCCTCAACGGTTAGGAGTTAAAAGAAAATTCTTTCAATATTATACGTAATTATAGACCGATAGTTAAATTCTTTCAGGCTCTTATTAACCGACTTCAAAAAAGGAGGAGGTTCTCAATAACTCCTCAACGGTTAGGAGTAAAAAGAATTTTTTTTCAATATAGACCGATAGTCAAATTCTTTCAGGATATTAGAGTAACCTGATAATAGTAGGTAAATCTCATTCACGAGTACTTTGATCCTATATCGTAACCAAGGTCTGATGCTGGTGCTGGAAGGTGCCCATAGGAACTCCGCAATAAAACGACACTTTATATTAACTTAATTAATTACATTAATTAACTTTACCTTTTGTCAGGAATTACATTTCTTAGTCGTTGCATTTCTGCCAATGCTCGTTCATCATGGGGTTTTGTTAACAGTTTAGAGTGTTCTAATTATTACCCCTTTATTTGACTGCTGTATATAACACAATATCATAATATTATGTTTCATATTGTCACGGGCGTGGTCGATACTAACATATTGCCACGGGCTGAAGTCGAGCACTTAACCCACACAAGTTCCTTTGTTAAGTCGGTTCAGGTACTCTCCTGCGTCACGCCGTAAAGATGGTGATCCCGGGAGCTACGTTCTGGAATCCGCTGACGGCTGGATGCGGCAGAAATGGGTAACCAAAACCGGCGGAGAGTATTCACGTCGTGGTGGTGAAAGTAGAAAAACATAAAGAGCGTGAGGGTATACCGGCCAAATTGGTAACCCGAGCGTTGAACCCTGGAACGCGCCATCAAAATACAATTACAAGCGGTCCAGTACATATAGCACACATTCACGGCACTGCTTTATAAAAGAAAAGCACCTAAATTGTAGTAGTAGTGCCGTGGAATCATGACAACCAGAAACGGAGATTACAATTTCGAGAAATAAGTTAATTTATAAAGAAATTTACGAATATTAAAAAAATTATTAAAAGCTGAGGGTGGAATTAAAAAAATGATGCAAAGCTGTTACATCGCGCGAGTATACAAATGCCGCTTGAGAAATAAATTTAACATATTATTATACTTTGAAAAAAAAAATAAGTTATAATAAAATTGTGTTTTATACTTAGTTTGTTTTAATGTAGGATTTAATTTAATAGTTATTTTAATTAGTTTTAGGTATTGTAAATATTAAATTTAAGTGTATTTTAGGGTAATATTATGAATTATGTACATATAACGTTACATATACCCCTCCTCGTCTGGAAAAGGGTTTTGTCCTGAGATAAAACCCGCTTTAGACTGCTCCTAGCATTTCTCATACATTTCTCATACAAAAAAAAAACATAAAAGCATCAACAGCATTATTTACGCCATTGACGCATCCTATCAAACTTAAAGTCAGTAGTTATTATAAAGCTAGTGACTCATGCTAAAAGAACAAGATGTTATAGAGGATTCCTTTTATTTATTATTATTACCAAAGAGCTTTAGATCCTTGATATGCCAAACGCCTAGGTTGTTTCCGGACATATCTTCTAGTACATATACAAGTGGTGATCGTTTTTCACTTACTCGACATTTAATGTATTTTGGAGCCAACTTTTTACTGAAATATTTGTCTTTATCGCTCAATATGTATGTACGCTTAAAGACTTCGTCGCCTACGTTGTATTCAGCTGGTTTTCTGCGCAAATTATAGTGTGTGGTATTCTTCACATGTGCATTCCACAATGATGCTTGCACATCATTGAATATTGATGACAGACAACCTAAGTTCTCAGCGTATACGTCGCGTGGCAAGAACAAAACTTCGTCACCTAAGTCAGAGTCTGTATAGTGCGAACCGCATAACACTAACTCGCTACCGTACACTAAGAAAGAGGGAGTGTACCCAGTCGCTTCGTTTACTGAATTATTGATTGCGAATTGTACCTGAGGAATGTAAGTGTCCCAGGACCTATGGTCATTTTCAACGAAGGTAGATAGGCTGGTGACTATTGTTTTGTTGTAGCGTTCGACTAAGTTTATTTGGGGCGTGTACCTGGGTGTGTAATATACATTAGGGACTTTATATTTCTTAAACAAAGCTTTAGTAGTTGAGCTAATAAAATGGCTGCCATTATCTAAAAAGATAGTTTGTGGTATACCATAAACTAAAAATATTGAGTCTTCTAAAACTTTCACGACTGCATCTGCAGTAGCGCGACGTAGCGGGAAGATGTTACAATATTTAGTGAAGCAGCAGGTTACTACAAGCATGTAACTATTTTGCTTACGAGTGACAGGCAAAGGACCTACAAAGTCAACAGAAATCATTTGATAGGGGCGTGAGCACTGCTTTGGACGACCCATTTCTCCCAATGTAGTGTGATTTTGCGACTTGTAAGCTAAACAAACCGAACAAGAACCTACGTATTTTACAACACTTTCATGCATACCGGGCCAGTAATAGGATAATGCTAAACGATTGTAAGTTTTAAAAATACCGAGATGACCAGCTGTTGGTACAGAATGGTTCTCACTTACAAATTGTTCGCGAAATTCAATAGGAACGACTTCTTTCCATGCGAATTCAGATGTTAGATTTGATTTATTTTTAGAAAGCCGAAATAAGGAGTTATTTTTAATAGTAAAATTTGGATAGTGATTAGGATTATTAAGCCATCCGTTATATATACTTTTTGTACCAATCATCAGAAGTAGTGGAAATAGCATTTGAAAGAGAGATGGCCGAAATGGGAACAGCTCGTGAGAGAGCATCGGGTATCACATTATCAACGCCCTTTCGGTGCTTTAATTCAAAGTTGAATGAAGATAACCTTACTCCCCAACGCGCTAGTCTTCCGGTAGGATTGTCTAATGACAGAAACCATTTCAACGCAGAATGGTCAGTGTATACGACAAATTTTAGGCTATTTTCGAGGTAGCATCTCCAGTGCTCGAGAGCGACTAACACAGCAAGCGTCTCCCTCTCTGTGATACTGTAGTTTTTCTCGGCGCCGGAAAGAGATCTACTCATGTAGGCAATAGGATGCCCTTTACCGTCAATATTCTGCGTTAACATAGCTCCAATACCATAGTTGCTAGCGTCTGTGTGGACCTGGAAGGGCTCAGTGTACACCGGGCAAGAGAGAACTGGTGTGGAGACAAGACACTCCTTCAGAGCATTAAAAGATGCATCAGCCTCTGGAGTCCACTGAAAAGGAGGTGACTTTTTTTTGTTAGATGTTAGTTTATTAAGTGGGCCAGCTATTGTACTAAAATTAGGAACGAAACGTCGGTACCAAGTAGCGGTACCGAGAAAGCGTTTCAGTTCCTTTTTGCTTGTGGGAACCGGAAAATTTAAAATTGCTTGTACCTTTTCTGGATCCGTGTGTAGACCACGAGCATCTACTACGTATCCTAGGTACTTAAGTTCGTTTCTGAAGAAATTACACTTTTCGAAATTTACTGTTAGATTGGCCTGTTTTAATTTCTCTAGGACACGCAGCAGATAAGACACGTGTTCTTCGAAGGTTGAGCCTATAATTATGATATCATCCAAATACGCAAAAGTTTTCCCCTCCATGTCGCCGAAAAGTAAGTCTACTAAGCGCTGCTGGGTGGCTGGTGCATTTGTCAGACCAAAAGCAGTGGTTTTGAACCGTAAGCTGCCTCGTCCTGGTACATAAAAGGCAGTCTTATCGCGATCCTTTGGTTCTATCGGAATCTGCCAGAAAGCTTTCGAAAGGTCCACACTCGAAAGGTACTTTGCGTCGCGTAAATTGTCCAGAATCTCTGAGACATAGGGCAAATTATAGGCATCTTTCTTCGTTACAGCGTTGAGCTTCCGACTATCAAGACAAAATCTCGGCTGTCCATTCTTTTTAGTTACGATAAGAACTGGAGAAGACCACGCACTCTCACAAGGTTCAATAACATCGAGCGCTAACATTTCATCGACCTGTTCTAATAAAATGCGCTGCTTCTCTGGAGACATTCTATAATAACGCTGCTTTATAGGCTGAGCGTCTCCAGTGTCTATTCTATGGGTGATCAATGTGGTTCTACCCAGACCTTTCTCCTCTATAGATATAGATTTAAATTGAGCCATAATATTGTCTGCTATTGACTTTTGCGATGCTTCTAATTGGTTGTATGAATTAATGAAAGTTTGCGAGTTATTTAATCTCAACTCAGCTAAAGAGTTCTTTGACATTGTGATACTACCTAAATATTTGGGACAAATTTGGAAAATACGCCAAAAGTCAATGCCTAATATAATAGGTGTTTCTACTTCAGGGATTCACCGATACTCCTCAGTGATTGTCCGCCGGCGGCTACCATTGATAAATTATCATCCTTTTTTTTTTTTTTAACGTTGGGAAATGCATTTACGCACGACGTGTGGGACTCACCGGCGTAATACAGCCAGTACTACCCACTAAAACCCAACAAAACCTTCCCCCGTCTTAATGGGGCGTCGCAGGATCGCTTACGCATTCAACTACGACGCCCCGACGGCAGGTCCGCCGAAGCAGACCACCACAACCATGGGGTTGCTCCACAGTCCACTCTGCTATCAGAGAAGTACCAGGAGCAACCCGCATGGTACACCGCCCTCTGAAGAGGGCCACCTCCCACCGCCCACTGAAGTGGGCAACCTCCCTGTGCGTTTCTTAGCTTCGCTACTGCTACTGAGCCCCCCCACCACGACAAGGTGAACGCACGTTGGAGGGGTGATAAATTATCATCCTGTTGCAAGGTGCAATCAACAAAATGTAAATGGGAATTGTTACCTAAAATTGTTACTGCAGCACCAGAATCGAGTAGACCACAAGCGTCGACATTGTTAATTTTAATATTTACATAAGGTCTAGAGTCATTTGTGGGTTTCGTATGCAGAATTGTAGATATTCTATAAGTAGAAGTAAATGTTCTAATAAATGAAAGCTAAGTTTCCCAGTCTTCCTTAATGAAATTTCTACAATTCTGCTCATCTAGTTTTTTAAGTTATTATTTTTATTACATACTGGACACTCAGGTGTCTTTACATCCTTTAATCCGCATTTGAAACAAAATACGTCGCGACTTGCTTTACATTGTCGGATGTGATGTGAGTTACTGCGACACCTAGGGCAGTATGTATGGTTGTTGTTTATTTGTATGAACTGAGTGTATTAAATTTTTATGTTGATTTTTATTGGGACTGTGCTGTTGATTTTTGTTATAATTTAGTTGATTAAAGTTATGATTTTTTGAAAAGTGACCGTTACTATAATTATTTTTATTAAAAAAAATTTGTTTATTTGTATTTGTGATATACTCGTAGTTCTTCCTTTAAAGATATTGTAAATAACGCTACGTATTGTAACAGAAATTTACGGGAAACAGCTACTAGCATGTGTGACGCGGAGAGCGCTTGAAGGGTCGGGACGAGGTTGTCGCCGGGACAGTGTGAGATTAATAGCAGCATTTATGAGAAAACTTTTGCAGCTTTTCCGTTATATTTGAATGGATGAAAAATATGTTACCAAATACAATATCGTTTGTTTAGACAGACTCTGCTAACATGTAAGGGTGCATAAAACATCATTTACTACATTCTTGTTCCTTGCGAACACTTATTTATATAACGATGATAAATAATAAATTAGTTGGGACATTAACACAGCACCATCTAGTTCCATGGTAAGCTAAGATTCTTGTGTTATGGATACCAGATAGTTGATACACTACACATATATAACTTTAAATACATACTTATTATAAATATAAAAACCCACGACTGGAGTACAAACATTCGTGCTCATCACATAAATGAATTCCCATGAAGAGTTACAAGTTCAAGAGTCATTACAAACAGAGCCAAAAGTGTCATCAAAGGTAGACAGAGGTATTATATTTTGTTAGCATATAATATGCTCATCTGTGTACAATATTCATAGTAATAGAATTGCTATGAACATTATACACAGATATATTAACGTAATCAAATGAGTTTATGAATACCTAAACTTAACTTTAATGGATATTTTATTTACTTTTATCTAATATTGTGCATGCTGTGATTGTCTATAAGTGGAAAAGCATTTAATCAACGTACTAATAGCATATTTGAAATTATCATGTAATAATGTATTTTCTGTTGAAAATAATAAATAAATACCATTTCCTGTCTGTACCTGTGCTGAGGGCCTGTCGGAAGAGTAGTGTATGGCACGTACATTGTACGTGGAGTGACGTGACGTATTATTTTATTTCTAACATTGACAGTATTGTTTGACGTTCTATATACCATACTAGCATTGCCGCGTTCAAATGACCAAAAACCAAATTCGTAGGTTTTACATAGTAAACTCATAAATTGCAGTTTTTGTATTTTTTCTCAGAAATGAGACATTTTTCCGCGGTAAAAAGTATCCTATATGTTGATCTGAACAACCAGCTATCACAATACCAAGTTTCATCAAAATCCCTCCAGTGGTTTTTCTGTGATGCGGTAACAGACAGACAGACAGACAAAAATTCTAAAAACTATAGATTCGGCCTCTGTATCGATAATAATGTCTATTTCATTAAGATTTTCCAAAAGATATTTAATGTAAAGATTCGGCTTAGTTACAATTTTAATATATGTATAGATTTTCTTATTGTAGAGTATAATCCTGCTCACAATATGGCAATATTTCAAGCAGGCTTAATGACAAATCGCTCGAGTACAGCTGTCCGCGACTCGCGACTCCGCCGACGTATAAAAAACTGCTGTTGTTGTTTGATGTCTATTCTAGCTTCACATTTATTATAGAATTATTTTTATTTTTAGTACATTGTTTATGTTTATATTTACACAATAATGTTTATTTTATATGTAAATTTTATTTATTTCACATTTAAAGAAATTCAAAAAAGAATTTCAAAGATATTATGTATAATGAATAAAAAAGTTTTTAAACTAAGCACAATTTTGGTCAAATGTTCATGTAAAAATTCCAGAGGATTTTAACGAGAGCCCACATGTTAGGTACATACATTTTTAGACTCGTATCACATTACAATGCATTGCATTACAATGCAATACATTGTACATGTAAGTAGTCGTGAGTTCGATTTCTTCTCAAGATAGGTTTTTGATTTGATTTCTGTTTTTTCGAACTCATTTATATTTTTAACTAATCTTTATTCGACGTTTCTTAACATTATACAATCCATTCATTTCTTACATTTATATTTACCCATAGTTACAACTGTAATTTTATTTAACTTCGAATTAGTCACTTTAAATAAGTTAACATTGGGAATTTTCATCTTGGTTTTTAAAATAATGTGTGTTAATTTCAACCGACTTCAAAAAGGAGGAGGTTCTCAATTCGACTGTATGTTTTTTTTTTTTTTTATGTTTGTTACCTCAGAACTCCGTCATTTATTAACCGATTTGGACAATTTTTGTTTTGTTTGAAAGGGTATACTTCCAGATTGGTCCCATTTAAATTTCAAAAAAAAATACCACCCCTAAGGGTGGAAAAACAACTAATGATGAATTTAACCTACTTCTAATTGTCATATTGACTTGAAACTTTGCAAGTATTTCTATTTCCGTTGATAGTACAGTGGTTCGGTGTTGTTGATCTGATCTGATGGCAAGGCTAGAAAATGGATAGGTGAAAATATACGACTTTTCTTAACCGTAGCCGGTATACATATCTTACTTCTTACTAATATTATAAATGTGAAAG